CTTTTTTTTTTTTTTTTTTTTTTTTTATTGAGTTTATTGGTACATTTAGGGATACAGTACAGTTACATTCATTGTTGGGATCATGTACCTTTACATGGAGGGGGTGAAGGGAGGGCAGAGGTAAGGGGAAAAAAATGAGAACCATCTTCCTTTTCTTAGCGATGGCCCGTGCTCCTAGGCTGTTGTGGAATTAAAGACTGCAGAGGTTAGCGCCCCTCAGGCAGCTCTGATTAACCTTCCTTTACATAACATCAAAGGCAGCCTGAACCCCACACCTCGTGTGCTCTTCCATTTCAGACACTGCGGGGCTACCACTGGCGAGGGAGAGACTGTAACGACAGTGACAAGAACGTGTACCCAGGCAGAAGGTAACGCTGCTGCCAGGCTTTCAAAATGAGCAAAGAAGGCAGGAGGCATCATCTATGCCAGGTGTGGATGACTCCCAGGTAGAAAGGGAGCTCTGTGCCACAGTACCTCACTGAAGAAGGACAGCATTCACCCATTCACTCACTGGGCCAAGAGATGCTTATCGAGCAGCTAAGATTCGTGAAGCACTTTGCATCATGGAGTGGTAAAGGACTCCATGGGCATCCAGGAATGAAAAGAGTGTCACACTTTAGTCCTGGGCTAATAATGTTCAAGCACTCGTATAACAAAAATGGACTTCAAAAACATGGAGATGCCGCCCTTCGCTTATGCTGTGGCTGTAGTGCTGAAGTATTAAATTCACCAGATGCGTGACATTTTAGAGGCACAATTTGAACAATTCCCCCACTTTCTAAATAAAACAGACAGCAGATGTGTTCACTGTGCTCACCCGCATCCCTCCCTCCCTATGCAGTCCCTGAGAAGAGCTCACTGTGGACAGACTAAGTTAGATCCAGGCTTCCTGGCAAATACCCCATGTTGAACTAAAGGCAAAGGGCCTAGCAGAGGCTTCTGTGCACACCACACACAGTGGTATGAGGTGCCCTAGCTGGAAGAACACTGCTACCTTTCAATGGCATGCTTTGTAGCCCTCATCTATGCATCTATCCATCATCATTCACTAATGAAGTGAGTTCATGCCAAAGAAGGACCAATGTTGTTGTTTCTTTCTTAGGCCAGACAACTGGGATGCCCATCAGGACTCCAACTGCAATGGCATCTGGGTAAGCCACTAAGTTCAAGTTTGACAACATGTCTTACTTTCTACTCTCCCCAAAAGCCCATTGCCTGTGTGCTAGCTTCACCTAAGGAAGGGGCAACAGCCTGCAGTCACTGTCCTGCTGCTGCTTGGCAGAGGGTATGGAATCCACACCACCACATGCAAAAAACATTGAAGGTAGAACACAAGCTGAGGCTCTGTTGCAGCCTCTTTCAGCCTTGCTTGCGGTCACTCAGGTCCAGGCCCTTCGTTCTGTTCAAATGGTGTGAAACGAAGTGAGGAGTGGTGTTGGGAAAGTTCACAGCAACTCACCCTGCTGTCCACACAGGCCACTGCATCACCACTGTGACAACCCAGCCATTCTTCTGTGTCACAAGCCTGGTTGGCAGAGTGGAGCTTTCCCGTGCTCACCTCACCACCCACACCTCATAGCATCTGATGTTGGTGTCCCAGACCCTAACAATAGTGGGTTCACAGCTTCCAAGAGGAGGGGAGGAAGCAGGAAAGCCAGCCAGGTACTTCTCTATATACAGCAAGGATAGAAGCACCACTTTGCAGTGTCTTAGGTTTACACGATTCATAGGATCCTCAACAGGCTATGAATACATGACAAGCATGAGGCAGCAGGATCACAAGTGTAAGCTTAGTCCAGGCAACATTATGACTTAGTGAAACCCTGCCTCAAAATAAGAAATAAGAACTGACTGGGATGCAAGGTATGTGCAAAGGCCCTGGATTCAACCTCCACCCCATAAAAAGAGAGAGAGAGAGAGAGAGAGGGAGGGAGGGAGGGAGGAAGGAAGGAAGGAAGGAAGGAAGAAAGAAGAAAACCAACTGACAAATAAAATATAAGATCATGAATGAAAATAAATAATTACCAAGAACAGTAAATAAATTCCTAACACAGTACTAAACTCTTATTAATTCAGGTCACTTTTTTGAGACCTTTTATCAGACTAACCAGAAGAGCTTATGTGGAAACAGGTCTGATTACAGCCTGGCCTCTTGCTGTCCACCTAGAACACTCTCTAGCTCCCAGCCACTCCTAGGGTGCATATAGACAGGAGCTATGCAACCAGAGGGCCCTGAAGTTTAATATTTTGACCCCCAAGGTAAGCATTCACCTCCTTTATCTGCTTGGATGAAGGGGAGAGAATTCCTATAAATATCATCCTCTCTCCAGGACACTAATAGTCCAGGTTTATACCAGCAGTCACCTACTGTGTTTACTGGGGCCCGGTAGCTTCTGGTACTTGGGAAGGGTGACAGAGGACTGTCCTCAGACACATGACCATTCATGGAGGAGGAGACTCCTTCCTGTAAAGCTTTAAGGTGCCAAGACCCCCACGGCAGCTTTTGTCCTAATAACCCCAAGTTTGCTTGTCCTACTGGAAGATAAAGTATGCTGCCACCTTTGTCACATGCCCACTGTGGCTTCTGGCATCATGTACCTCCACATGAGGAAGAGACCAGGCAAGGACCAGAGGAAACCCAACTAAGCTCAGAGGCTCCCTGGATAATGGGAGAAACACACCCCATCGCCGTGCCTATGCCTTTCCCGGAGGAAAAATGACCCACAGAATCCCACAATCAGGAACAAGGAGGGGACTGCACCACCATCAAGGCTGGTGTTGCCTGAATTGGACCCACAGAGCCCAGGAGATCAATGCCCTACTTCCAGGCCATCTCTGACAATGAAGCACTCTCATCTTGGGACACTTGTCCCTTCCAAGGGACAGCTACTCCGCCACAGGGTGGCTCTGGCTTTAGAGGACTTTAGCTGTGTAACTCAGCCTCTACAGGTTTCTTTCCATTTTTTTTTTTTTTTTTACCAGATAGCTCAGATTTGTTTTGCTGGATTTTGTTTGCTTATTTAATTCATGAAGCTTGTTGATACATTGTAGATATACACAGTGATCACATTTACCATAGGGAACTTATACCTGAACATGAAATATCTTGGTTGACCTTGGCACTATTGACACTGAGGTTGGCTCAGTCTCTCTTGTTGGGATTGTCTTGGAAACAGTGGCATATTCAGTGCCCTCCTTCACCTCTGCCTGCTAGATGCCAGGGGCATTCCTACCCTAAAATGCCTCTAGTGTCCCCTGGGATAGCTGTGGGGGGGGGATCAATCCTGGTTGAGATTTTCATCTCTAGAAAAGTGAGTTGTCAGGGCCTGGGGCTTCCAGGACACAGATGTTCAGCTCAGAGGCTACAGAACCCCTGACCTGTATTCCAGCCCCTCAGCTGCCCTTCAGCGCTCTGAGGAGGGGACTTCCAGCCCAAGGCCTCTTCCAGAAGTAGCCTCCCATCCCTCTAAAGAGAAGGCCTGGTTTCTAGATCTCTCCCTGTTTCTGCTCTTGGTTCCTCTTAAACCCAGTTCCCACTCACACGGAATATATAACTGTGTTGGAGTAGGGGCTCAAGAGACTTTCAAGGGTTTTATCTATTGATTTATCTTTGCGCTTTAAAGCCAACAGGGAAGGATTTAGTGTAGGCATCTCATAACTTTAAAAACACACACAGCTAATCTCATCTTTCCTCTTCTAAAGGGCATTGATCCCAAAGATGGAATTCCTTACGAGAAGAAATTCTGTGAAGGTAAGAACTGTGGATGCCTGTGCTTGTTACAGCAGAACAGTCCTCTCTGGTTGAGCCAAATTGAAACAAACAGACCACTCTGAGAGGAAGTGCCCGGGCCTCATGTTAAGGTGACTAATTTACATTTGTGTTCACGACAGAGAATGACATTAAGAAAGGTGCAGAAAAGGAGGCAGAACCTGGAAAATGCCAAACTGAATTTGCTTAATGGGCTCTTTTTTCTTGGGGATTGAAAACATTAATGATAACGTTGGAAAAGGCTACGGGATGATTAAGGGTAACTGAAATCTGGAATTTTTCCAAATTAAAAAAAAAAATCAAGGAGAAATGAGAACAGAGATGTGTTATATTTGCAGGTCCTTGTCACTACAGTGCAAGGTCAGGCACCTAGACTTGGCTGATGGGAGGAGCCCCCGTGTGCACACGGCTGGAAATGCAGGTCTGAGGGACTTGAGATGACCAGCTCTGGCCTGCAGAGCTTCCCCAAGGTGACTGCTGAACAGCAGCTCTGTACACTAAATGCCTGTGTGCCCCAGATATCTGAACCGCCGGTACTGTCTGGAGGAAACTCAGCACCCCGTGTCCCTGTAAACTCACCCCAAGGAGCCTTAAACAGACCCATTGCTGCTTTGTAATAAGCGAGGCTCTTCCCTACCTGCAGACGTACTTCCTTCCTCTCTCCTTCCTTCACTCCTTCATACCAAGGCACTTCCGGGACTGCTATTTTGATTGTGCACTGAGACTTCTTCCTGGCTATGCCCTTTGAAGGCAAAACCCATGTAGTCCTTCCTTTGTTTAGCTGCAAATCTATTTGTCTATAAGCTCTCAGAGGGACAGACAGGAGGACAGAAAATGAAAAGGTCCATTCCATGTGCATGCAGTAGAGAAACTTTAGTTGGGCGAATAAAAGAAGGGAAAATTAACTAATGAATAAATATGGGGCCCAGGGTGTTGGCTCAGTTATGGAGTGCTTCTTGCCTGGCATATTCGAAGCCCTGGGTTCAATCACCAAAACTGAAAAAGGAAAATATGATAAGTAGTGCAGGTCTAGGTGAAGCCCCAGACAATTTGGACGCACTGTAGGCAGCCTCTTGGGGTCCCCACGTCTCATCCCCTGTGCCTCTTGGAAAGCCTGGCCTTCTCAGTCCCAACCGTATAGTCATCCCCACTGGGCCATCATCTGGCCTCCATCAGGGGCTGGGGCGAGGGTGGAGAAAGGAGGCTCCCTTCTACCTCTGGGCAGCATCAGGTTGTTCTCCAGGGTTGGAAGGTTTTGGGAGAATGTGCCTCCATAGGAACAATCGGTGTGGAGGGGCCTCTTACCCCCAGACACATAGCTGCATGGTGGCCTTTCAGTCTCCATCTTTCTGTTAATCAGCCAGAATTATCCACCCTGAGCTTCTATGTGTATGGATTAAGGACTGCATCAGCCCATAACATCTTTGAAAACCCCGAACTGCTCCGTAAGGCCATTGCATTGGCTCCTTAAGTGAACTGAAATCAGCATTGGTGTGGTTTCCAAGAGAGCCCTTTCAAGAACCAAACGTCAGCGCATATTTCTGAGTCCAGATAAAGTTCGGATGCATTTATTCATCTGTCACTCACTCCAGATGTTGTACAGTGGATAGTTTTCTACTGAGCTGGAAAACCCATCCACATTTACACAGCTTAGCTCGCAGTACCGCGACTGCAGGATTCATCCAACTCTTGAACCCTGGGCCCCTCGCACCCCGGCCCAGGAGAGGTGGCCCTGAGTCACTGTCCCCATGTGCTGCCCGTGGACGCACTGGGCTCTCCACTCTCATTGTCACCCATTGGGAGCTCCAGCTACTTGAGTGCATAAATGATGGAGTAAATTGTGTTCCTAGGTTCACAGCCCAGGGGAATCATTTTACTGGGCGACTCAGCTGGGGCTCATTTTCACATCCCTCCCGAATGGCTCATAGCTTCACAGATGTCTGTGGTGAGTAATTTGGGCAGCAATCATTCCGGATGTGCCGCCCTTTGTTTTTGTTTCCCTTTGCTCTCTCTCAATGTGGTGCCAGCTCCAAACAGGTGCCGATTTCCTTCCTCAGCAAAATCTGCCATGAAAGGCAAATCCAAAGCCATTTCAGTCCTAGGCAAAGGAAAGCTGAGGGTTTCTCTGCTTGACCTCCCCACTCTCAGCCCGACTGCTTCCAAGAACCCTGAAGATGGCAAGTGGGTGTCAAGAAGAAAGTGGCAAAGCCAGGCCCGTAATGCAGCTTTCAGGGAGCATCACAAGTTGCAGCCCGGTCTGAGCAACTTAGCAACTTAGCAAGACCCTTAGCAAAATAGGGGCTGGAGATGAAGCTCAATGTGAAGGTCCTGGGTTCAATCCCCAGGACTGCAATCAATTGATCGATTGATCAATAAAGGTTGAGGGAGCAAAGGAGAAAGTGGCACACTCACAGAGAGCTCAAGGGTCAGTAGGAGCACTCAGGGGCCTCTCCGGCCTTGGTTTCTGTCTGGGCAGGTAAGAAGGGGCTGTTCAGGGCAGACTGTTTGGCTCCTGATGGCCTCTACCACTCCCAGAGGATGGCAGGGGAAAGAGAAGCCTGCATCCTTTCCCAAAGAGAAGTAGGACTCTCCAGGAAGGTCTTATGAGTGTAAAACCAAAGAAAGCTACACTACAACTATTAATAATAACAGTAAGAGGAAGCCAGGAAAGGGAAAAGAAGCCAACAGTTACGGAGGTGTCAGGCGTCAGGCACCATTGGCAGGATTTATGAGTGTAACTCAGGTGATCAACTTAGGAACAGTCACCCTCAGTATCCAACCCACCACAGAGGGAAAAGGAGGTAGCCCTGTGATGGTTGCATCTATACTGAACACACAGACATTTTTTTTGTTGTTACTCCCTAAACAAGGCAGTCTAACAACCATGTGCCTAGCACTTGCATTGACTTAGGTAATATAGGTCATTTAGAGATGCTATAAGGCATAGGGTAGGCTCACACAGGCTACATAAAATACTGTACTGCCTCATTTTACATAAGGGACTTGAGCATCCATGGACTTCAGTACCTGAGGGGCATCCTGGACACTGAGGAGGGACTGTGGGACGGACCTGTGGAGACAGCTCAGTGTGGCACACACGTGCCATATGATCAGAGCCTCTGTCCTCCTTTCAAACTGTGAAACACCTGGGGAAATGGTGTGGCAAAGGACACGAGTGGGAGGTGACAGGGAAGGTGGTTCAAGTGCCACACACCCAGGCAGGGGGCAGCGTTGTCAGATGGATCATCTGCACTCCAGCTACCTGAGGCCACCAATTACTAGCAGAGGCTGCACCAAAGCTGATGCCCAGTCCAGCTGTGTGTCCCACAGGGCCCAGTGCAGCTGAAAAGTGCAGATGCCTTTGTTCACCACACAGGGGGAAGTTCCCCTAAAGGTGCTAAAACAAGGAGCTTTTTTTTGCCTCTCTTCTGTAATCTCACTTATTTGTGGTGCTTTTATGTTTTCCTTTGTTTTGCTATTCAATTTCACTTTTAAAAATTAAAATGTTAAGTAATTGATATAAATATTACTTTATCTCTGTTACACTGTGCCGGTTCTATGTGCAAATATAAGGGCACTGACCTCCCATGTGAAAATCCATGTGGGTACTTAACAGATGCACGGGGTGACAAAGAAAAGGGTACTCTAGAGAACAGCTTGCTGGTGGAAAGAGAGTGATATTTTGTACAATGTTCAACTCTGGTTCTCAAGAGTAATTGAGAGGAGGCTGGGCCCATGAGCAGTCCAAGGTCAGTCAAGGAAAGTTCCTTTTAGGAGGAACAAGGGACACCAGAAGGGGAAAGCCCATGTTGATACAGATCAGCAAGCTGGCCAGCACTGAAACAGGGTGACCAAACCATCCAGCCCCTTGGGGGAACCTGGGCCCAGGAAAAAGGTGCAACTCAAACCAGAGATCAGAGTCATGCTGGGTGGGTCCCGGAGATTGAACAGGAAGCCCAGAAAAACTCGGACCTCAGGTAGATGGTGAGCTGGGACCAAGCAATAAGGAAAGATAATTTCTGTGTATTGGGGGAAGTTTGTCAATCCGAAGTCCTACTGAGTGCCAGGCCAAAGTATGAAATCCCAGCCGACAGGGCATATCTTAGGGAGAAGATTCATGTGGCATCAGACTAATCTCTCAACATTAAATTTCAAAATGGGGAGCAACCCTCCAGAGGGTTTGTTTGTTTGTCTGTTTTATTTTCCATACTGGGATTGAACCTGCGGCCTTCATGCTAAGCTACATCCCCAGCCCTTTTATTTTTTATTTTGAGACATGGTCTCACTAAGTTGCTAAGTTGGCGTGCTGAGCTGCAACTTGTGATCTTCTTGCCTGAGTTGCCCAGAGGGCGGGGATTTTGAGGAGGAAAGGTTATGTGCTAAAAATGGTCTGATTGCCCGGCTATTGTACTTACATGAGACTGCAAAACATTCTCAGTCATTCAAAGATTCAGAAAACTGCCAGATATAGGCCATCCCTGAAAAAAAAATTATTTTAAAAAGCATTCCAGTTTCTCTAAGTATGGCATTATAAAAGGCAGCCAAAAGAGTTACTAATTTAACTGCATACAATTTTCAAATGTATGCAATGTCAAAAAATCATAAAGGCAAATAAAAAACAATATTTGTAAAAGTCAGAATGTAAATCTTCTAATTAATGAATTTCTATGATAATAAGAAAAATCTTTAAATTTTAATGATCAAGAGCATGACTGATAATTACAAGAATTTTATTTTCAGCTCTAAGAAACAAAGTAACAACTTAATTTATTTATCATTGGTCAAATAGCAAAGGTTAAAGAGAGATAAAAGGCCTAGTTTTAGCAATAATGTGAAATGGGCATGTTATTACATCACCAATGAAGGATTAAGTTGCTAGAACTCTGAGAGGCAATTTGGCAATATACAGAAAGAGACATTAAGCTGTTTTCTATTTTGATCAGCATTTCCCCTTTAAAGTGGTCAACCATTCACTCAAGAATATATGTATCAGAATTGTCTATCAGAGCAGAAACAAAAAAAGAAATTTTAAAAGTCCAAAATAGGAGATGTAAAAATATATTACATCTGTATTGACTTAGTACACATATTAATTGACACACGTGTGGGCAAGAAAATATGCTGTGATTTAGTAAGGGACAAAAGCAGGTTAAAAATAATGTGTATGAACCAATTTTGTGAATGTGTAAGTGTGTCTGTGTGAACAAAAAAATAATTGGTAAGTTGTAGTTCGGTATGTCAATATTAGCTATCTTTGGAAGGTGGAATGATGGGTAGTTTTTTCTAATTTTTCTTCAGTACTTTTTGTATTACATGTGAACCAAATATTATAATTCAAGATTTGGGGAATTTGGGGACAAAGGGTGTAGTTCAGTGGTGGAGCACTTGTGCAAGACCCTGGGTTCCATCCCAGCACCACACACATACACACACACATAGAATTTGGAGATTTGTTCATTGTGCTTTATTTTGTTTTGTTTGAAGCAAATGACTAAGGAAACCAGCTAAAGAAAAGCAACATGCTGCTTTATTCAGCCTTTCTATAAGCCCTCTGAGGTAGGTATTATTAGAACACAGCCTCACTTTACAGACAGGGAGGGTAAGGAGACTGCCCAAGGCCACACAAGGGACAGGTGGCAGGATCACCTGAAGGAGCTACTTAGCCACACGCAGCAAATGACGGGGTACCGTCTCGGGCAGGGTCATGTGCTTTGATGAGCTCATGGCTGCGAAGTGCTTTGGACTCACACGTTGGATCAATGAGGGCCCACTCACACAGTATGTGTCATCTCTTCGTGGCTGTCCTTCCTATTGGTACCCGTGGCCTCTGCAGGCTGAGGAAAAAGGTTCCTCTCTCACAATTCGGTACCCACTTTAGGGTTTTCTTGGAGAGGACAGGCTCTCACCTGCCTTCTCCTCAGGGCAGTGGCTCTCTTCACAGTATGCTAAGTTTCTAGACAGGAGAAAGAGTAAAAGACAGTATGTTACAGTGATAAATGCATGCCCATGTTTATAACAGCGCAACTCATAATACTTAAATCTTGGAAGTGGCTGTACATCCATGAACAGATGAATGGATAAAGAAAATTTGGTATTTATACACAATGGAGTACAACTCCACCATAAAGAAGGATCATCTTGAGTCATTTGTAGGAAAATGGATGCACCTTGAGATCATAGTGTTAGTGAAATAAATCAGATACATGAGCACAAATATCACATGGTTTCTCTTATGTGAGAAATCCAAAATATAAATAAAGAACAAAATAAAAGACAGATAATGGAAAGCAAGAAGATACTTCTTTTGCAAATGAGAAGGGGCCTAGATGGAGGGAGAGAGAAGTGAGGGTAGGGGAAGGAGACATGAAAAGAATTAAGACATATTATGCACATGTACCAACTCCCTATGATGAATGTAATCACTATGTACTGCAAACATGCGCTAATAAGCATGAAAGAGAGACAGACTCAATCTGCAAGTCCAGCAGCAGCCCATCCTAGAGGCCTAACAATTAGAATTTACATTGTAAAGCTTTTCATTTGCTCCTTGTCACAAGACTGGTTAAAATGCTGCAGATCAGTAGCATCTGTGGGTTTGGGTTTGGGTTATTTGTCCTCTCACTTTTTGGCAGTGTGGAGCTCTGAGAAGTGACCGAGAGATTGGGTAGTTGAAGGACCCACATCACACACAACAGGAATTAGGAGTCACAGGTCTCATCAGTACAGCAATAAGGCTGTGAATAGTGGAACAGCGGTACTGTTTCATGCCTCTTGGTCATCTGTTTTCAGTCTCAATGTTCTAAGGTTCTAAAACTCTCTCCAGGTTAACAGAGCAGTCACTGGCAGCAGTGATCTGAACTTAGTTCTATGGTGTAGCATTTGATAAGAACAGAAGATGGGACAAGAGCAAGAATTTTTTCCTGGATTATTGACATTGAACATAAA